TCATTGTGTACTTTTTGTTTTTATATTCCTTTTATGTTCATTGTGTACTTTTTGTTTCTTTCTATGTTCATTGTGTACTTTTAGTTTTTGTTTCTTTCTATGTTCATTGTGTACTTTTAGTTTTTTATGTTCATTGTGTATTTTCTTTGTTTCTTTCTATGTTCATTGTGTACTTTTTGTTTTTATATTCCTTTTATGTTCATTGTGTACTTTTTGTTTCTTTCTATGTCAATTGTGTACTTTTTTATGTTCATTGTGTATTTTTATGTTTTATGTAATAAGAGGGTTCAATGTTTATAAAGAGGTTTTACTAGTTTTTAACAAATTTTTATAACAGGCTTTACTGGTTCATATGTGCTTTTACTGGTTGAAAAGAAGTTGAAATGTTTTTATTGGGTAACACTTGTTTTTATTTAACTACTTCATTAGAGGTTTTATTGTTTATTCCAACATGTGTAACTTTTAAGTGTTTTAACATTTTTTTAGGAAGTTAAAATGTTTATATGCAGTTACACTGGTTTGTAAGTACTTTTACTGGTTAATAAGAGGTTTCAATGTTTATATCTGGCTTGACTGGATTCTAAATGCTTTTACTTGTTTTTAAGAGCTTTTTTAAAGACAGATTTTACTAGTTTATTATTGCTTTAACTACTTTATGAGAGGTTTTAATGTTTTTACAGGTTAATAATTACTTTTGCTGGTTTTTAGAGGTTTAAATCTTTATAGCCGTTTTCACTGGTTTGTAATTGATTTTATGGGTTTATAAGGGGTTTCAATAATTATATCAGGTTACACTTGTTTTTGTTCAAGGTTTTAATGTTTATATTAGGTTTGACTGCTTTTTATGTACTTTTAAGGTTTAGAATTTCTTTTTCTGGTTTTACACAATTTAGTAATTTATGAGTCCATTTACTTGTTCATGAGAGCTTTTACTGTTTTTTTAATTACTTTAAATGTTTAAAACAGGTTTCGCTGTTTTTTTGTTGTTGCAATTTTGCTGGTTTATGAGAGGTTTTAATGTTTAAATTAAAATTAGATTAACTGATTTATGAGTGCTATTAGTGGTTAATAAGAGGTTTCGCTGTTTATAAAGAAGTTTTAGTAGTTTTTAACAACTTTTAATTTTATAACAGGCTTCACTGGTTTTTAAGAAGTTAAAATGTTTATATGCAGTTACACTGGTTAGTAAGTACTTTTACTAGTTAATAAGAGGTTTCACTGGTTTATAAGTGCTTTTACTGGTATATAAGTCTTTTTACTTGTTTAAATAAGATTTAAATGTTTATAACACTCTTAACTGGTTTATCAGTGCTTTTAATAGGTTGTAAGGGGGTTTATTCTTCATCACATTTTTCACTGGTTTGCCATTGCTATTACTGGTTTATAGGAAATGTTAATGTTTAGAACAGGTTCCACTGCTATACAGTTACATATACTGGTTTATAAGAGCATTTACTAGTGTAAAAGAGGTTTTAATGTCTATAAACAGGTTTTAATGTGTTATATATACGTATACTGGTTGTTAAGAGCTTTGACTGGTTTTAATGTTATAAAATGTTTCACTGGTT